GCTAAAAGTAATTACTTTTAGCGGCAATAATAAGGGTCTTTACCGGCACCCGACACAAATGCCACTAAAGGCTTTAGCGACATTGGATCCAATGGCATTTAATCAAATGCCGGTAAATGTAGTTGTGGCAATAACTATTGCCGCTAAAAGAAAAATTAATTGCCGCTAAAGATCTCTTTTGGTGTAGTGATGCTACTCCAGTGGAGCGAGTTGAGAAAATTTCTAGACTTTACATGCTTGTTATATTGGGGGGCATCTTATTTCTGAACATAATGCTTTGATTTTATATTAAATTAACTCTTAATTATTATTTAGATTCATATTATGGGGCCTTCATCCACCGTGGAGGAGAGCCCCACGACGAACATAGAGGATGTCATTCCGACAGTTAATGAGGATCCCGATGTGATACAGGTTTATGTTATTTATTTCTTTTAAAATATTTACATTAGTTATTAATGTTTTGATTTTATATAAGAAATGTAGTAGTAAAGACATACTTTGACATTGTCAGATTTAGGATAAATGTATCAATGCTTGGAGCAGTTAGAGATAATATTTCATCAGTTGGGTTTAATTTTGCATTTCTCAATTCTTTTGGTTGTCATGATGTTTGTATCTGTTCAAAATTTTAATAATGGAACTTAGGTTAATTTGGCTTTTTGTCTTAATAATGAAGTCTTGGTTCTGATTCTATGATCCAAAATAAAGAATGGAGCATACGAATATATAGTGTTGGTGTTCTTGGATTTATTGTTGTATTGCTAGATCTCTTTAAAGATGGATCTCTTTATTTTTGTCAATTAATTTTCAATTTCTACTATCTAACTTTCTATTTGCAGACCACTTTGTCACCACTCTCGTCTCCAGATATTACTTTCATTATGCCAGTGGATGATATACCTATTTGTTTGCACGTTGAACATTTGCGAGTAAGTGTACTTGCGGGAACATCCATTTCATTATGTATACGGGTGATTTTGTTTACGTCCACTTTTCGTAAATATTTTTTATTTGCTATCATAAGAAAAGGACTATCAGGCCAATATTTTTCACCGCCGAGTGGATTGAATTGTCCAAAGTAGGCTTTTTTGTAGCTACGCACGCTGAATTCAGGTGCCATATGCTCCCATGCTTGATACCCAATTTGGTCAAATCCCTTTATTGCATGAGAACATGGAATGTAGTATGATTGTCATTTACCACATTGACATTTTCCTTGTGATGCATTTACAATGTGCTTATTACCACCACTGCCATGATGCATATGTGTCTGCACCTCAAAAATGTTTTTCCTTTGTTGGTGATAGTTAATAAGTGTGTGACACTGTGACTTTTTTTGATTACCCTCAAAAATCTTGAATGGTTTAGGCATCCATTGTTGCTTTTGTTGTACTAGCTGATTGACAAATTTTGATCTGTAACAAATCGATTCACAATCTGATTGTAAGTGAGTCTTACCATTGCAGTAACTGGCAGGCCCCTGGCTGACTTAAGAAGACCATTGAATGACTCGGAACTATTTGTTGTTATCATACCCCATCTCCTACCTCCATCCCTATGCAATGTCCATTTGTCAAGATCGTTCTTCATTAACCACACATACGCTTCCGAGTTAATCTTCTTGATCATCTACATTTTTTCCAAAAACTTTTTCTCCTGACAGTGATTTGCAGCTGCCCATAAAAGGTTGTTTAAAGTGACATTTTTGAATTTTTTTTGAAAATTGGCCTTCAAATGTCTTAAACAAAAACGATGGAACCCAAATGGGGCCTGCCAATTGGGAGAATTATACACGGATGAGAGTATTTCGTGATGCCTATCTGAAATCAATGCCACACCTCTACGACCCTTGACAACGTGCAAGTGCAAATGATCCAAAAATAAACTCCATGTCTCCATGCTCTCATTCGCAACTATTGCAAATGCCAAAGGTAATATTGAGCCGTTACCATCCGTTGCAATCGCAATCAACAACTTGATATCATATTTTCCATAGAAATGTGTTCCGTCGATCGATATAACAGGACGACAAAACACAAACCCATCAATGCATGGTTTAAAAGTCCAGAACACATAGTTGAATACATCTTCAATGACATCGACACGCCGCTCTGTTTTCCATTCAACTATTGTTCCGGGATTGAAGTGTTTCAAAGCTTCCATGAACCTCGGCAACTCGGCAAAAGAACCCTCCCAAGTACCATAGACTTTTTCAAAAGCACGCTTGCGACCAAGATATGCTTTTCTTCTGCTTATCGAAATGCCATATGCTTTAAGAACGGCTGTTTGACAGTCTTTGATGGGAAACCTGAAAAGTAAAAATAATATTAATTATCAAATAAAAAATGAATATTTTCTTATTAAAGAAAAATCATCTAAGGATAAAATAGTACCTTGGTGTTTT